GAATAATATGAAAAAGGCTTTTAAGATGCACATGAAAATATACGTCATAGGTTTTTTTAATCCTCAGAGCATTATGGGTTTAGTTCTGAAATTTTAAAATTCTTCAAAATGTCATGAATAAATGGTATTTTCTGGATTATAATTAAGAAATAACTCTCTCACTTTGAACTTTGATTCCTTTTCTTCTGGTATACATCTAACCCAAAATTGGATACAGTAATATTTGGCAGAAACTTTCATGCTTAATGAATAAGAAAGCTGCCCTTCTATATGGAATTTTGTGTCCATAATACTGAGAGGGTTAAGAAAGAAAAAAGACAGTACTAAACTGTTTGTCGCTGGTAGGTAGTGCACATACTAGCTTTCTCAGACGAAAACACTTCAAATTTCAGTGCTTGATCTGGCAATTATGAATCCATGCCCTCTACCCATAGACTAAATAGAAGTGACTGATTAGGAATCTGTTTTGTGGTAGGGAATGGCTCTGTCAGTAAGCCCTTAGAACATAAATTGTGATCTGGCATAGAGTTGGTTTTAAATTTCTTTAGCAGTTCCATGTAAGTGAAAACTTTTGTTTGTCACGTGAATAACAAACAGCAATAAAATATTGCAAAATCCACTTAAGCTTTGCAACCAAAAAGAGTTTCGTATAATGTACTCCTGATCTTAGAATGTGATTTCAAAAATTAAATATGCGGGTATGACATAAATTACTAATTAAATACATTTGCATGTTCCCATATTTAAGGAAAACCATGCAGCTAAAAGAAAGCAAGTTAACATAAGTAACAAAATTAAAACATTTTATTTCTTACTGTGGAATGTGATAAAACCATTATATTGATTACAGTATATCTTTGAATGTTGGTTAAAAAATGGTCAAGTATAATTTTTGTATATTAAATTTTATCTTTTTTGAGACAAACAAATCAATAATTTTTTTCATTAAATTTTGGTATGTCATTTATCATGCATTTTTCACCAACGTGAGCACACATTGAATAAAAGCTTGAGCACCAGAGTGATGACCATTCATCATGCTTACACTGTCATGATATTGATTTCTGGGGTTTGTGCTTCAAACTTGCTTGAAAACACTCAGCTATACATTTTGCATCATGCCCAGGTGGATTCATGAATTCCCAGAATCTCTCAACCAGTTGTTCGTTATGTAAAACTTATCAAAAAACAACAACCAGTTGTTGTTGTTTCATACTTGTTCATAAACATACCAGTTGCTATGTGTATGAAACATCAGTAGTTTCATCTGCTATTACTTAACCAAACTTATTTTGAGATCTCATTTTTTTATGTGGTTCTGACATAGAACAGTTTTAAAGTGTACTGCTTTGTTGAGCCATATCATTTATCTTAATTACCTTTGGTTAATACCCTTACCTGTATTTCTTTTTCTTTCTTTTGCCTCAATTGGCAAATCGTTTCTTTTAATTCTGGTGTGCAGTTACTGTGAATTTTAACCAGTTCATTCAAATTTATGCCATAAGGCCACTCAGCCCCTCATGGTAATTAGTTTTTGTAGGTTTGCAGTTGAATCGCTCATCCAAAGGTGAAAATGGAAGAGGTGAAGTCAAGGGATTTAGTTCGTAATCTAAGCAGATGCACTAATGTGCACTGTGGTTAGCATAATTTTCTGAAGAATTAAGAATAAATCTTAGATTTCATTTAGATAAAAATAATTCTTGTAGTTTATTTTAGCTTGAACTTGTGAAGTAACTTGAATGTAAAAGTGAGAGAATTTGAATTTGCAGCAATGTTATTGGTTATCACTTTAGTCACATTGTACGAAGTGTCGAATTAGGATTGAAGATTGGAGGCATATTGAATTTTAAGTAGCACAATAATAAGATAATTAATTAAATGTAGCTAAAAATAATAAGTAGTGTCCATAAGCCTGCTTTACTACCAGGCAACAAAGTTCACAAACTTTGCCGGAAGTATAGTAGATAAAGCAAGTAGTAAAAACTGAAATCACTAAGAATTTGAGCAAAGTTCCAATTCCTACTTTGCCAGGAAGCAAAGTCCGTAATGTTTTGTCAGTGAAATATGTGCATATATACAGTTACTACTTAGAATTGTGTTGAATAGACCTTAGTCTTTTCACAGCTCTAGTGTAGAATTGGGTGCCCGTTCGATTAGCGACAATTTTTTTTTTACTTTTGGCGATGAAACCTCATTTCTGGTTACCATGATAGTTTTAACTATGTTTTAGCTTCCTGATTTTTTTTTATGAAAATAGATTGATATGTACATGGAAAAATTTAAGGTGGTGCGCAATGCCTAGTTTGTGCAATTCTGGGATTTTTTTTTTTTTTCAGTGAAAACAGATCAATGTGTACATGGGCACAGAGTTTGTGCAATTCTTTGACTTCTTATTTTGGTTTTGTGTAGCGACCATCTTGAAATTGTGCCTTCCTAGCACCGATCTTGGCGTCAAAAAGAACTGCCAAAAAATAAGGAGCACCCAATTGTAAACTTTTACCCTTTTCACTATGTTCTCTACAATAGGATCATCATTAACTATTTCTTATTTAGAGCAGTATAAGATGAATTTTTCATTTTCTCGAAGAAATTATGGGCTCCTATTAGAATCTTTCTTGAATAGGGTTGATCTTTAAGTCAGAATCTATTATTGAGTCCCGCACGACCATGGGGCATTTACCATTGCCCGACGTATTCTGTTTTGTAAAACTTCACTTTTTCTTCTTTCTGTTTTTAAAGCAGTGGTTCAAGCTGGGGCTGCATATAATAAAATAGGTCTAATTAAGGTTAGGTATAATGTTCTTTTTTTACTTTGATGCTGAGTTTTGATTTTCATCCCATTAAACTCTATACAACCATAAAAGCTCTGTTTGCTTTGTTAACTTGATTTACGATGTGATCTTTAAAGGTGAGACAGCTATCAATAATGACTCCCTGATATTTAACGGAATTTGAAATTGGTATGACTTCATTTTAGATTTTAATTTCTGAATTTGTTCGCATAAATTCTTGGTATCTTCTAAACTGTACAATGTTGCATTTCAAAGTGTACCTTTTGCCTAAATGAACACTTTTTTTTTTAAACCAATGGTGTTATTAAAAAATCCATCATAAAACAATCTTTAAATCTGCTACTTTGGTGAGCCATAAATATCATTTATCTTAATTACCTTTGTTTAATACCCTTACCTAAATACTTTTTCTTCTGTATAAATGAATATTTTTTTAAAAACGTTTTTAGAACCAGTTCACTTCTTAAATGAGCAATAAAATTAGCTCCTAAAAATTGCCTAAATAAATGGTACAATTCAATTTTAAGCAGTTAATTTACTAAGCTAAAAATATTCTAACATGTAGGTCAATTGAGCCAACTAAACCCTTAGGGCCATTTTCTGTCCTTTTTTTAAGGGGGGTCTTTTTTTAAATTTCAATTTATGATTGATTTAATTTGTAATGCTTCAGGTATTTTATTAATATTAATTTAATTAAGAATAATGTCATGTATATTGGGATCTGTTTGTTATTTAACCTTTTGAGTGGCACAGATTTTTGAATCTGCTTATAAAACCTATATTTAGATAGAATTCATTACATAAACTTCTATAATTACTTTAAATTTCCATTCATTAATGTATATTTACATTATAAAAGAAAGTAAGAAATCAAAATATTTTAAAATGTAAGCTAATCTAAACCATATGACAAAAAATTTGAACATATGAGGGCAGTCATGCCACTCGGGAGTTAACAAGTTGACATATTTTCCATAACTTAAGATTTAAATAGATTGTACTTCCTAATGCCCTAGTTAAGTAAGTGGTGCAAGATAACATTATGAATAAATAACCATCAGTAGTTGAAATACTTTTTCTGGAGAATGAAAGGAAATGTTGAGCTTATGATATGAATGAAGGTTATTTATATACTTTCAAATAAAAGAGAACAACCAATCACATTCATCTGATTATCATATAATGTTTTAATTTCGTGATTAATTTCAATTTTTATGGCAGTGTTATTTCAGCTTATAAACTAGCTTTAAGATAGTTTAGACTCTTAACTAAAGCACTTTCTATATGTAATTTGTGAAAGTTCTGATCAGTTTGTTCAGTATAAATGTGTAAATTTCATCAGAGTGTATTTTAATTTTTTTAATTAATTTTTCTGTTTTTCCTCCGTTTCCAGGTAGCAAATTATAAAGTCTGTATTTAATAGCCTAAAAAATTTATTATTTTGTCATTTTTTCATTAATTTTCTGTCCATTATGTTAAAATACCAAAAATTTATTTATTTATTTATTTTTATTTTTTTTTTTTTCTCTTTTACTGTCTGCATAAAACCACAGAACATATTTCTTTTTCTCATTGTTACCCATAATTCAATTTACTTTTCTTATACTCCACTACAAAACTACAGAGTTTTTACTCAATAAAACTATATGCAAAATTTTTTTCAAGTATTCCACTTACTTGTGCCTTGCGTTAACTAAAAAAAAAGGAGTTTATTTTAAAGAATTGGAGTACTTTCTCTGTATTCTTTTTATGGTAATGATGTAGTGTGCAGTCAACTTTTAGTAGAGTTATCAATTTTAGTTACTTTTTAGATGCAGAACTAAAATTATTTTTTAGATGGCGGATCTAAAATTGGTTGTTTTAATTATTTCTTTTTCCTGCCATTTTATTTCACATTTTAATTTTAAAACAGCATTTTAGTGGTGCATTCTAAGGAAGAAATAAATAACTAAAAGTTCTAGTGGCTTACTACATCATTACCCTTTTTATATATCATAGCTATGATGAGTAACAAAGACATCTGTACCTTGAAGTTATATAGTGAAATGATTATATTTATCTATATTACTTTTAGATGTTATTGTAAAAATCAATATATTGTAACACTAATCAAAGTAAAACTTTCAATAAATTGATCTTATATCTTTAATTTAAATTTCAATGTTGAATTTTCTCATCAGTATGCTTATTATTTAATATTCTCTCAAGTTGACCTTGGAATTTCAATCTCCATAGACTGTTTAACATACAATGGAAACATCATAAGACGTACGAGATCTTCATGCAAGTTTGTAAGGTAATCAAATAGAAAATTCAACTGCTAATTTAAGGAGTTTCCATATTTTTTTATTAGTACATTTAACACATTGTTCTGAAAAATCTTTTTTATGAAAATAACATAGTGTTTGTTTTTTTATCCAATGCAGTCAGAAAAGTAACTTTAAAAATGTTCAGTTGTTTTTTTATCCAATGCAGTCAGAAAAGTAACTTTAAAAATTTTCAGTAATGGCATACAGTCACTCAGTTTATAAAATACAGTGAAAACTGGAAATTTGGAGCCTTTTAAAGACCCAGATTTTGAAGACACTTTTTTTTTTTAAATATCAAAATGAAATGAAAGATCAGAATGCATGATTTATTTTGGAAATTATAGATTCAAAATAATTTATTTAATATTATCTTGATGTTCTGTTTTATATTAATAGTCTTATGTAGCAATGTGAACAAAGTAACACATCATGATAAGTCAAAAGTAAAATTTCATTAGTTTTAGTTGAAAAACAGTACTAAACTAAAATTTCTCTTTTATTTCAAATTGTATTTAATCCAGGAAATCTTTCATAAAATGTATAAATTGAGAATGAATTGAGTGTGGTATATAATAAATTTTAAAGAGTTATAGTCGAAATTTATTTTATGTAACTATTAGAAACCCAGTTCTTGAACAGTTTTGTGTGTATAAAGATTGCTCTTTAACACTGCTAATAATTAATGATCAGGTGGCCCATCATGTCTGCAACTCTACATATCATCTTCCGATGATTTTACGCATTGCCTGAAAATTTTTGTCATATATCATGTGAAATGTAAAAAATGAAAAAAAAAAATTGTTTTCCATCAAGGTAACAGCAGTTAACATCAAGGGAAAGTATTGGAGTAAAGTATAACTTGTAATAGTAATTACAGCTGTGGTGTTGAGACACATTACTGCTTAAAAATAAAATCATCCATTAATATTTTAGAACAATATTTCAGCTTTAATGAAAGCTTCATGAAGTAAATTATTTGTAATAGTTACTTCTTCTCTTGGAATAAGTCTTGTATGCAATATTATTTTGTTACATTAATACTAAAATGTAATTTCATTTTGTGATTATTTGAACAATGGCTAATTCTTTTTCTGGAAAAATTTAATAGCAGTCTCTTCATAATTTGGCAACTGTCAAGTCATAAAATAAATCATGCTTAAAAAAAATTAAAATTCTCACATAAAAATGTGACTGATTCAAGAGGAATAATGAGTCGCTATGATTGGCTGTGTTCATACATAGGATTATCATGTAAAAAAAAGTGCAAAAGGAGGATGTTTCAAAATACATATAAAATTCTGTATAAACCTTTATGATGAAGAAAACTTCAGGCATTAAAATGAGAAAGCATATTGCTCTGACCAATTAGAGATTTAAACATACTTCTCAGAGCTACCTATTATTGTCAAAAACTCTTCATTTCGTAATAAATAACTACGTAGCGTATTCGGAAACTAAGTATCGTTTCATTCTAGCGCCGTCACAGCGCTGTGGTAAGCGTCCTGCGCATGCGCACTAGTCTTTCTTGTTCACTGACTTTCAATTGTCGCCATTTTGGTTGCTCTATGTTGTTTTCAGTTGCTGTGCACATTCAAAATGTTTAACAATTAGTTCTCCTGCTGACTGTGAGTTCTGCTGTGATTAAATTTTGAACGCGAGGAATTAAAACGGCCGAAATTTATCGTCAAGTGACAGAAGTTACGGTGAATACGCGATAAGTGATGGAATGGTGAGAAAGTGGGTAGAATATTTAATGCAGGTCGAACAAATGTCCACCACGCCGAGGCTCGGAGTGGTCGGCCTTCTGTTGTCACCGATGATTTGGTAAGGAAAGTTGATGAAGCAATTCATGAGAACAGACGCTTCACAATGCCAACTCTTTCAGAGGCACGTACAAATTTCATGTACTGTTTTGTTCGAAATTGTGTCTGACCGCTTGAGTTATCGCAAACTGTGTTCCCAATGGGTTCTAAAAATGCTCACTGATGTTCACAAAACAAACCGACTTGGTAGTTCCCTGACATTTCTCACGCGGTACAGTGATGAGGGAGAAAACTTTTTAAACCAAATTGTGACAGGTGATTAACTTGGGTGGTCTTTCACACCAAATCGAAACAACAATCGATGGAGTGGAGACACACTCTTCTCCGAAAAAACAAAAGTTCAAAGTGACAATGTCGTCACAAAAAATCGTGTGCACTGTCTCTGGATAGAAATGCGTTTTGCTTACTGAATTCTTCCAGAGGTGAAACCATTATGCGCACGATATGTGAACTTTAACAAAATAAGGCGTGCCATTCAACAAACGAAGAGGAATGCTCAGTAAGGAATTGTGTTGCTCCATGACAATGCTCGGCCCCATACTGCTGGTGTCACTCATCGTTAATTCGACAGTTTCATTGGGAGCATTTCGATCACCACGACTACAGCCCGGACTTGGCGCCGTCCGACTATCCTTGTTCCTGCACATGAAGCGCGAGCTTGGTGGCAGCGCTTTGGATCTGACGAGGACACGAAAAATGCTGTGGTGTCGTGGTTATCGAAACTTGCGGGAAGTGTCTTTGACGATGGTATGCAAAACTGGTCACCCGCTGACAGTGTTTGATCATTGGTGGAAACTATTGAAAAATAGTTTAGACATGTACTTTCATGTAAAAATAAAATTGGATTCGAAAAATTGTTTACTTTTTTTTTTTTTTTTTTTTTTCAAAACGGTATTTAGTTTCCGAATACGCTCGTATAAAATCGAGCATGTCACACTCTTAAAATTGTATTGTGTAAGTATTATTGCTTACTGTAACTCTCCTTGGTACATTGAGCGTTTTTCAGTTAAAAAACCATTTCGGTGTTGGCATTATGAACAGGAATGCTCGGGGGGGCTTATCTTTTTTTTTTTTTTTTTTCAATAATTCCGGAAAACAATCGCTATTAAGATAAAATTTTTAAAATATCGTCCGTTATTCAGGCAGATAATAATCTTCGATGGACTTATCCGAGAAAAGACAGGTTGCAAAATTCGTCGTATAGTTTCCATGTGTGAGAATCATTCGTGGCGATTCATGCTGTACACAAATATAAAAACACTATAATTATAGAAACAAATGTATGTATATTAAAATAATACTTTTACACTGCACGAACACTTTTAAAAAAGAGGATATTATATTTTAATTAAAAAAGGATGCCTTTTCCTTCTTTTGGATACTATATGGTATCCATCCAAAAGAAGGAAAAATATTCATAGATAACACCAAATATCCATAGATAATTCATATAAAATACTCATATATAATATTGTTTATATTCATAGATAATACCGTTATCTTTAGTACAATTTCGCGTATTTTGGCTGCTGTCATGTTAAAAAAAAAGGACCAGCAGTAGAAATAAACCATGAACTTAAACAAATTTATATTCTTGTTTTCCTCAATAAATATAATAAAGACAAAAGGCGATCCGTAAAATTAAACATAACAACATACTATTATTTATAGTATTTTACAACTTTCTTTAATGTTTATTACATTTATTGAGTACTTTTTCAGTGTTTTAATTATATACATTTACGACTCAGTTGTTATAAAAACAAAGTAACTGAAGAGCAAGAATTTCGATGGCGTAGGCCTGTTGATTCATAATGACTAGGAAATTGGAGGCGAAAGCAGATTAAATCTTCAGTTTTATTTTCAGCAAAATGTTGCGGCTACACACAAGTCGGCACATTAAATGTGACTGTTCCAAAAAGCTTACATTTTTTATAACTTCGTAGCAAGAAAGCAGCAGACAGACAGCAGCGGTCGCGGACACTTAGCCGACACCAGTTAGTCGACAGGGACAGTTAGCCGACACGACATTTAGCCGACACAGACAGTTAGCCAACAGGACATCCCACTTCTACTACTTTGCTCAAAGTGGGAGGAGCTGTTTCGCTCCTCCCACTAATGAAATTTCCTTTCCCATTTAGAAAGCGATAAACATTTGCCATGAAGGCGCATCACGTTAAGTCAATCTGCAAGTAGAAAATGATCGCTAACAAGCTGCAAGGCCCGATCCGTGGGGAGGTCAAGAGAAATGCCTCAAACTTCACTGGCAGAGAAAAGTCCTAAGTTAGAAGAATGCAAGGAGGTTAGAATATCCTCCTTTGAAGAATGCCTATAACGTGGCTCCATCTCTTGTAGCCTAGATCAACTGAAAAGTTAATAAAGTCATGAAACTAAGTCCTGGCAGAAATTACCACTCCATCTTAATCATCTCCTCCACGATACCCAGGGTGAGAAGCACTTTCTCTTGAGAGAAGCTCAGCTGCTTACATTTATCTACGAATTTGTAGAACACAATCTTCATATGTTTATCCACGTTGAAATCCGGTGCCTGCTTCTTTAACGCGGCAGAGTAGGATTTCGCAGGCGGTCTTCAGCTCAGGCAGCATTGCAGCTTGCTTTGACGGGCACCCGCGTACGTGACGCAATCCCAGGATAACATTAAATGGCGGTTTTCGAACGCATAGTGTTTGAAAGTACAGGAGAAAAGTTCGAACTTGAATTGTGCATAAAATACACATACTTCCGAGTGAGGAAACAAATAAGGTACATCTACTCCTGCCGCGTGCAATAACCGTTGAAGTCGAAGGGTAAGTGTGCAAGTGAAAACCGTGAGATAAAGAAGTGCCAATGATGCAAGTAACTGTCAATTATATTTAATGTGCGGAAGAAGTTGCATGAGCGCATTAGAAGACTGAGGGGAAAATTAAAGTAATTTGGGGATCAAGGACTTAGGTGTAGCTTACTGGAAGAGAAATAAGGTGAAATGTGGAGTTAACTAGTGAGACTCATAATGAGTACAGTAGAAATAATGAACAAATTAGGGTGTATTGTTATCAAGCTGGTGTATCTCCTCTAATATGAGGTACATGATTTGAATTCTGTTTAATATACTGTCACACTTTCTAAGTTCATCCATTTTGTTTTTGTAAATTGAAATAATTTTA